AAAAAAAAAAAAAAAAAATGCTCGCGTGTTGCTCCACGGAAGTAGATTAGGAGTATATGAGAAAAAAAGTAATGCTCGCGTACTGCTCCACTGAGGTAGATCGGAGAATATAAGAAAAAAAAAGCAATGCTCGCGTACTGCTGCGTGAAGGCAGTTTTGGGTATATAAAAAAAAAGCAACTCGCGTACTGATCCATGGAAGTAGTTTTGGGTATATAAGAAAAAAGCAATGCTCGCGTACTGCTGCGGGGAGGTAGTTTTGGAGTATATATACAGTAATTTCAACAGGCACCAATAAATTGACAGTCAGCAGATACTCAGTAGCTTCATCCTTGAGGTCTATATATAAAAAAAGACAGATCGAAGTTTCTTTCATAGTTTATTATTTACACATTTTTCATACAAAATTTCATTTTCAAAAGACGTACATATTTTGAATATGCTGTTCCTTGGAACATCAATTTCTCTTGACAAGTGTGATCTGATCTGGTGTCCTAAAAAACAAATAAGACAAAATAAATATCTCAGTTCTGGTTCGCTTGATTGTTTTTCTGGGAAGACCTCAACTTTGATAGCAACCATGCAAGATAATTAAAAACACCTTTTACAACAATGACATGATTAAGTGTTAAAAATACTTCAGCTCAAAACACACACCTGTTGTTCTCTGATGACAAATATCCCATTCATTCATGGTCTTCTGTGGTTTTACCTGGGCTCTATCAAATCAAATAAAACAACAGATATTAGTTTCAGTCCATTTGATTGATATATCTAGAAGTCTATAACTTTAATAGCAGCCAAGGAAATTAAAAGTGCCTTAAACAACACTACCATTCATTAACTGGATTAATAAATAATATAATTCTGAAGTGGGTACATATATACACACCTTTTTGTTTTTTCTTGATTTACAGGAAAATGATGTAATTTTGCAGGCTATGGCCTGGCGCAGTTGGCCTGGGGTGGCTGGACTGTTTTTTGAACAGATGTCTGAAACATACAATAGATAAAAAGATCAAGAAAAATATAGTTAACACTACCCTTAAGTCTACATTATGCTTGCAACATTTGTGAGTTAAAAATGGAAGATTCAAAATCAACAAGTTTCCATAACTTCAAGGGTATACATGCAATTAGACTGCTAAATTAGACCATAAGTTATGTACCTATTATTGCTTTAATTGTCCTGGGATTCAGCTGCTTCTTCCCCTCAGTAGAGCTATGTAGAGTGTCATTTGCTATTTCTTCACTGCTAAAGAAAACTGACATTAGCCGCCTAGCCATCCTCAAACCATATTTCACACTACCTTTCTTCATCTTCCCAGGTTTGAAACAAGAAACAAGGTCCGGGCGATGAATATATATCGAGCTGCCTGGGACCAGCTCAACCATCTAGTGAAAAGACATAATCAGAAATATGATTTAAACTAATTGTTTTATAAATCACTCTCATACAAATAATCAGAGAGGAACAAGATATGATAAATAATTATTTACATCAAACAACAAACCCACAGGAATGTTGGATGGTGACATTTTGCTTATCATCAAAGAGAAACACAAGCACCATAGAGTAAATGAGCTAAAATAGAGTTATAGGGATAATAAATCTTCGTATGAGATCTATATTTCACAATAAAAACATTGTAATATAATATATTCTGTTTTACCACAAAAACGGCAGTTACAGCTATCATTCTGATATCTAAGCTTGTTATCGGACCATGTGACATCCATAGATGGCTATACTCTGTAATAAACTCTTAATTATAACATAAAACCAAACTTTTTAGGAAAAAAACAGGGACTAACTTTGAATGTAGAAATGGATTCATTAAACATTGGTAAGCATGGGAAAATTGTTGTTTACTCTAGGAAAATTCTTTTTTTTTTTTTTTTTTTTGGTCAAAACGAACAGTTATTATCCCTTTAACAATGACACATGTCAATGGACATACCGGTACTAGAGGCAAATTTGTATAAATATTAAAACACATACCTTATATTTTTCTCCAATTTTCTTTGGTAGGGGACCTGGCCTAGGAATTGCATAATCATCCTCTGAAAACAAACCAAAAAATCCTCATGTATATTCAGCACAATGTGTGTACATTTAGTATTTAAACTGGTATCATATTCATTCCACTGGACCAAATTTCTCTGTTTTAAGGTTAGTTATTACAGCTATGCTGCTTGTTATAACAGTTGTTCTATTAACTTCAATTTTCTGGTAGGTATGCAGTATACAATGCATGAAGTTCAAGTAAGTTTAAGTAAGCAAGTTTGGCTCTACTTTTAAAGTGTCATGGGCAGAAACTAAGTATTAAAATAAAACCTGGCTTAAAGTGAGGCCAGTGCAGTGCTTTTTAAACTGATCGACATGATAGCCCATAGACGTACAGGTTTTGAACATGCTGTTTCTTGAAACATCTATGTAAGTGGAGGTTGCCATATTTAAACTGAAAAGTAACCAAAAAAAGAATTGCTGTATAACAACCTACCTATGTATCCCTTACTACGTTCCAATTGCTTTACTCTTTTCCGTAGTTTTGCCACCTCTGGAAATACAAGAAGCATTATTTAAATCTCATCAGTCGGGTCTCACGGCTTGAACCACCCTACACTTGGATAATATGCTTAAAATAGATTCAGATCAAATCATTAGGTCCAATATGTTTGCCACTCCACCTTCAATGTCACAATTTACTATCATTAAACAACAACACAGAGCTCTGGCTTTAAAAAGTTTATTGGTTACAAACTACTCTAGGACTTACATCTAAAACAACAACCAATAACAATTCTTTAATAAAAATATAAAGTCCTCCAAGAGAGGTAATGAAGCTGATGCATAAACATACATATTATATATATATATATATATATATATATATGTCAAAGGCCTGGATCAAATCTAGTCCTATGCATAAAAAGCCCAGACCCCATGGCTGGGCCCATTCTTTATGGTGTCTTTGCATTGTTATAATGGGCAATTTATATGACCAAGTTAATTGGCCAAGCTGCCGCTTTGTTTGTATGGCATGTGCAGGGGATCTCTTAGATCAAGGCACATATTATGATACTTACAGGTGCAGCAAATGAGATTTAATTGTATTTCATTACCTGTGATTTGTAAAATACATCAGAGGATGATACTTTTAAAGATATCTAATGTTTTAAGAAAAGACATGTAGATTGATTTAGTAACATTTACTAAAGAAATGTTAAATTAGAGGTGGGCTTCATTTGTGCCTTGATCTAAGACATCCCCTGCACATGCCATAGGAACAAACTGGCAGCTTGGCCAATTAACTTAATCAATTAACTTGGTCATTTAACTTATGCTGTTAACAATGCAAAGACAGCGTAAAGAATGGGCCCAGCCAGGGCGTAATAATCATGGGGTCTGTGCTTTTTAAGCATGGGAATAGATTTGGTCCAGGCCTTTGACATTTATATATATATATATATATATATATATATATAAGGTGCATTACTTTTCACACAGATGCAGAAGACTAAGTAAACAAGCAACAGGGCGGGTGGGTAGGAATCAGTGATACAATACGTGAGGGAGGCTATGCATATGCTGCTGCACAACTCAAGCTAGCTTTGCATTAAGCAGAGGAAGTGGCCCGCTTAAGGCCTTGTGCAGCTTAAGGCTACAGGCGGGACATGTACTACCGTATGGCTAAAAAAAAACACGACTATTGGTACGCGTATGATCGATAACTGATTTAATTCTCGTAAGATTACCATCCGCCCCCTTCCTTATGAATAGGTATTACTTTATTAATACAATGCAACCGTCGTGTAGCCGCATGTTAGAAGACAATGTTTGATTACGCACAGCAGTAGGAGGCCGTTACCCCTTCCCAGCAAGGAGTCAACACAGCAGCGCGTAACCCGGGGTTAATTAGGGGTTATTAGCTGTCCACTTATGATCGGTATTGTTCGTCTTGATTGCAGCACACTTCCTACTCACTATTGGTTCGACCGCCTCTTCTTTAAATGCTCTCTCAAACCTTTCCTCAGTCAGCCGAGAATGGAAACACGTTTATCTGCCGATAAACTACGTCGTTGATGTATTATTCGGCATCATTCTACAGTGGGTCATAAGGCTCTATCTATCATTTTTTTCGTCTCGCATTTTACCAGATTAAGCTGACGCTCGAAAACTAAATTTAATGAA